TTAGCTTTGAACCTATTTCTGGTATATACTTTAGGCAGAATCTTAGTATAACCCTCCTTAATATCCTCTAGAAATATTAGATCGAAGACTGAGTACTTATAGTAATAACTAATAATATATCGAATAACTCTACTTTTATTTTATATATCTAAGATTCTATTTAATTATTAGATATTAACTCTAAGATAATAATTATTCGGGTTCTATATATTATATATATAATTTAGTTAAGTTTAAAGTAACTATTTAGCTAGATAAAAGTAAACCCTTAGAACGAGGTAACTAAGACTATTTAATCCGAGGAATATACCTAATACGCCCGTCGAAAAGTATAAAAATAAGATATTACGATAACTCTTATAAAGATATATATCTATACTCCTTATTTATTAGTTAAAATACTAATCTACTTTATATTTTAGATTAGAAACCTTACGATCTTTATTAATATAAGCCCTTAATATCGGGAGTCCTTCTTTAGTCTCTAACCCGACTATCCTCGATTAATTCTAATTTAAGATATCCGAACTAGATAGAATTTAACCTTTTTAATACTCCGGTATACAAAACGGTTATAACTAGTCTTTAATCGATTTTACTCTAAATATAATTATCCTTATCTTAAAATCGATATAGATAAATAATACTAGATCGACTACTTTCTTAATATTACTTAACTATTTTTCTAATTTATTATAGTCCTCTTAAAAATAAAGGATATTACTATTTATACTATCTTTACTATCTATAATAAACTATTTAATTATCTTAAGAGATTAATTAGATAGTTTAATAGAAAGAAGGTTAGATAGAAATAATAGATATATTAAGCCCTTAAATTAGCTAAAGATAAACTCTATAAGTATTACTCTATAATAGATAATAAAGAGCTTAGTAATATCTATATAATTAGCACTATCTTAGCCCCTTAGTATAAGATTAAATTTTTTTAAATTAAAGACTAGGACTATCTTTAGATAGATTATAGTATCTAATACTAATAAAGTCTTAAAGGTCGGCTTCTAAACTACTAAATTAGTAATATTCTAAGCTCTTAATCACTATCTAAAATAAAATAGTCCTATTAAACTAACGAGCTTAATATATTTTTAATAGCCGATTCTTCTACCTTAAGCTTCTAGTCTAAGATAACACGATATATTAAAGAAAATAAGTTTCTATATATACCTCTATTAAAACCAGGGTTCTAAATAATCGCTTAAAACCCTAGTTCTAATCTATTAAGTTTCTATCTTTCTACTTTTATTAAAACCGGGGTTTTAAGGCCTATTTTAGAACCCTAGTTTTAATAAAGATATTAGTTCTAATCTATCTAAATATTATACTAATTATTATAATCTATTTTCTATCTAGATACTATCCTAATCCTACCCTATTAGTTCTAGAAGGATTATTAATATAAATTTCCTATATTTATAAACCTTACCTATAATCTCCTCTCGATCCTAGTTACTAATACTAATATTAAGCGATTATTTAATTCTATATATAATATTTATTATTATCGATAAAAGGCATTAAATATATCTATTATATAGGATCTAATAATATTTATATATATTACTAAATTTAAAGTTAAAGAGAAGTAGCTTATATTTATTTAAGAGCTTCGGGAGTAGGATAAGTTAGAAATTATATAGGAGGAAAAAGAGACTTAAAAGACTTATAAAGAGATTATACTAATTAGTGATAATAAAAAAAAGAATACTATAGATCTAATAATTATAGTCGATATACCTTACTAATTGTAGTAAGAAAAATTAAGGAGTAATTATAAAAATAATTATAGCCTCCCGCGGATTTCTAATAGGGTTCGTAAATACCTATAAATACTTAATAATTATAAGCTTTAAAATTAAAATCGATTAATATTTAAAATAATATTCTCTAGAATTATTTTCTAAGAATTATTCTCCTAATTACTATAAAAAATTATTTAACTAAAATAAATATAATACCTAAAAATACAGCCAAGAATAATATAATTTATAAAAATCATATAGTTAATAAAATATCTACCTAAATAGGTCAAATAGGTTAATCTATTAACCCGCGGGACGGGTCAAAAAAATCTTGACCCGCCCACGGGTCAAGAGGTCTGACCCACGACCCGCCCATAGGCTGACCCACAGGTCGACCTATATGGGTTGTCCGCGGGTCTGTCCAGGTCTACCTCTTGGTATATATACCAATTATTGGACGAGTACTATAGGGTTACTATACAAGTATCGAATTGCTGATTTGCTCGCAAAAAAAGAAGCAATCCCATTGGCTGATATTCATCCATTCTGGCGAATTAGGGTTGAAGATTTATCTGATATCGCCTGGCAGCCACTGCTAAATCCCCGAATTCAGCCTGCTGCTTTCCCAAAAAGGCAATCTACGCAGATATCAGATAGGAGCGAGGGGGCTAGACCAATCAAAAAAAGGAAGGCGCCCCCAAAGTGTTCGAATTGCGGCGAAATTGGGCATACATGTCGAAGTTGCCCTATTGCCAAATAGGGTAACCTGTTTTTGGTGGTTAGGATAAGAGGATCATGTGATTAGAAAATGGATCAAAAAAGATTATATAAGTCAAAATGAGTATTACATAATATAATGAGGTGTCAATAGCGAAAATCTTGAGGTGCCCCTATCAATACCCCCAGCGAAAATCCATATTACATAAGAAAATGTATTGCCAATAGCGAAAATCCTGTAAAGCCCCTATCAATACCCCCAATCATAATACGTTTACATAAGCTTATTCCATATTCCAAATGTTGACTCCACATTTGGAACATTATAATTTCGGTCCGAATATAGACTCAAAATTTGGCAAATGTTCATCTGATCTGGGTTCTGCCTATCAGCACCCCAACTTCCTATATCTCTCGAGATCATATAATATCACCTGATCCACCCCTTCCGTCAGTTGGGAATAGCTTCATGCCTCACCATCTCTATAGACCCTTTACAAATATATAGGGTCAGCGGCTGGTGTACTCCATGTGTGTTTATTTCTTTTAGACAGGTATATGCCCGGTTAACTACAGGCCATTTATTTCAATCTGAATAGGAGATGGACATTGATCCTGCACTAGAAAACCTGACTATGGAAATAAGAAAGGCAATAGTACAGAGTAGCTATGGCAAAGCCCTTGTGGGATCAAATAAGGATTCAATAATATAACAAGAAGTGATAGTTCTGTCAATAACCTCAAGACTATCAGTCCGAATTGGACTGGAAATCCCCCTTAAGAAACATGGCAAAACTAACAAAAAAAAAGTCGGTACATTGGACGGGCGCTGGGCTATCGGGGTATCTCCACTGATCGGCTATTGTCAAACCGCCCCCATCAACTAACACGGGTCTTAGGGGAGGGGTTGGTTCAGGAACGCCCCCCGAGAGGCCAATGAATATTGTGACCCACATAACCTTGGCCAGTGAAGGTGCTTAGATTTAGTGGTGGAAGCCTGGGATCAACGATAATGAAACTGGATGTAGGGCACGAGAAGCACTGACTCGCGCCACTGTATCCACCCAAGACAAAGGTGGCCTCATCCTACTATTTGGCGGGGGTGGGTTGATGGCGGAAAAAAATTCTACTTGGGGCTGTCAAGGATTAAGTCTAGCTCGGTATCCCTGTCCTGACAGGCTGTTCGTCAAGGTTCACACGTCTTTCTTTAAAGTGCTGCAACTCGAAATTCAGGATTCGCACCCCTGAATGAGTTTGGGGGTGAGATCATAAAATATGCGAGACCAAACATGGCACATTTTTCAGCAGCGAGTTACTCCGAGATCATGGACATATGTGGACCCGGATAGGATGAATTTCTATGGTAGTCGTAGGGGAGCAAGTTGGATAGCACCGCCTGGAGTGTCTTTCTATTTCTCCTATTCCTATTCTATCTCCTATTCAATACTATCGATTGACTATTGTTTGAATCCTGCAGTCGCTTCCTGTGCATTATTCGCAGCCAACATTATTCGGACTATGTCCCATCAGGATTATGCCTCGCTGCAGAGGGGCGAGAAGGATTTGGTGCTAATTCCCAATAAGGAACCATTTCCAGCGGGGACGGGAAATGTTCTCCTGCGCTGTCACATCGCATCATTTTAAGCATGGGTTTCTCCTGCAAAGCCCATCTACTAAATCCTTTACGCCCTGAATCAGGTCCGGCCCCAGTTTAACTCGGCGCCCATGTTTCCACTCATAACTAAACCCTAAGCCAGCTCATCATTCGAATGTCAATTGAAGACTGTCCCCCTTTGATCAAAAAGTTGTAGGATATCTTCTTCGCTATGAAGATTTACTTTTCGCCAGCCGTTATTCTCGTGGACTCGCCGATCGTACGGCCCGTCCAGTGGCCCCCACGGCCCCGAAGGGTGGCCCCTGCACGTCCCGGCCCCATAAGCCTTGGTATGGGAGAATAATAGTGGGACTTACCCCTGTAGGATGTGTAGGATGCTTCCTGCAAAACCAAGGATCACCGTTTTTCATCAAACCGGGCTTCTAAATGCGTTGATCATGTCTGTGCCGCCACCTCGTGGCACGGCTAAGCATATGGACCTATACTCCGCAGCGCCCTGAACGAGGTATTGATCATCGTCGCCCAGTACTTGATAGCGAGCGACCCTTCGAGACGCTAAATCCTGCCCGTAATCCTTCTAACGGACTGAGCGAGTGCATTCAGGAGTTTTTCCTGCGAGTCTGGCTCTCCCTGGTGGAGAAGCGCCCTATAATGATCGCTTGCCCCAGATTCAATTTTTGACACATTCTTCTTCTGGCTTCCTCCATTTCACTTGCCAGGGTTGCTTTTCGGGTGCAGCCACTCCGTTCCTTCTGTGCAGTCAATAGTGTTCTGACGGAAGTGATTTGCATCCTCGCTTGTGCTTTGTCCCAGGCAGTATGTTTGAAGCCAACATCCAGCTCTTGGGACGAAACTGACATCTAATCTCTTTTTGAACAGCGTCCTTAGGGGATTTCTTGGCCAACATGTCGGACTTGACGAACTACCAGCACCATGCCCTGGTGGTCACGGAGCGAGTCAACTCTTCTGTCTCGATTATATGCATCGTTTTTGTGATCGTGACATACCTTTTCGTTCCAGGCTTCGACAAACCCATCAATCGCCTGATCTATTTCGCTAGCTGGGGCAACTTGGGATCGAACATTGCCGCCTTGATTTCGGAATCCGGACCCGCCGCAGGACGGGACTCTGGTCTATGTCAGTTCCAGGGCTTTCTAGTCGAGATGTTCCTGGGCGTGGACTGCTACTGGGCTTTCTTCATGGCGGTCAATGTCTACCTGGTTTTCTTTCGAAATTATACGGTGGAGCAGCTGCGATCCCTGGACGTCATCTACCTGATTCTCAGCTTCATCCTTTCACTGATTCCCTCCCTTACCTTCATCTTCATCTCGACTCCGGGACGAGGCCGCATGTACGGCGACGCGACAATCTGGTGCTGGATTACGTCCGAATGGGATTTTATGCGAATCGTCTTCCTTTACGGTATTGTTTGGTAGGTGGATCAATGCTGGACAGTATGATGAGGATCTAACGATGTGTTTAGGGTCGCCCTACTGTTTGCCTTTGTCATCTATGCCATGACTGCCAAGGCCATCTGGGACAAGAGAGAGCATCTAGATGGTTACTTGAACCCTCTGAACGAGAGTCCCTTTGTCAACACTATCACCACCGAAGTCAAGATCACGCATGAGGAGCGGCCAATTGTGCAAGACGCAGGCCCGCATGGCATTTCGGAACTGACGCCTGATCATGACGTCTATGCTGTTCAGGTAGAGGCCGACCCTCAAAAGCCACAATCGAACATGCCCGATGCTCTTCGAGTCCGCAGCATTACCCGGAATGCAGCAGAGCAGGCACAGAACCAAGAGGCTTGGCTCTATGCTCGGGTTGCCTTTTTATTCTTCCTGGTCCTCATGATTACTTGGGTATGCAATTCCCCGAGCACCAAAAAAAAGATTCTCATCTGATTTGATTCTCCAGATTCCAACTAGCGTTAATCGTGTCTATGCCCTCGTGGATCCAATGGGAATGAACTTCCCGCTGAACTACGTTGCATCCTTTGTCTTCCCCTTACAGGCCTTCTGGAACGGAATCGTCTATGTCATCACCTCCCAAACCGCTTGCCGAAAACTTTTGACTCGCTTATTTGTGAGGCCGTTTCGCAAAACAAACCGCCAGTCCGCACTCAGTGGAGTGAAGCATGATAGTCGAAACATGTATCCGTCTCGTGGGAAGCAACGGTTGCGCAGCTTTTCTAGTTGCAGCGATCAGGGCGGGGAGGGGTTAGAGCTTCACCATGTCCCAAAGCAATGATGATATTGTTGGCGAGCCCGGAGTTTTATATGAAGTCCTCCGGGCCTGTGTTGTTAAATTCTGAAAAGCCGCGTCTGCGTTGGTTTCTTTGCTCGTGGTGTTGGGGCTTCTGTGGTTTGCTGGCAACCCTGTTCTAAGCTCTGGAAACTTTTGGAACATTATCCATCGGCAAACCCGCTGGAAACTTTTATATTTTTAATGATACCACTTCGATTACAGTTCTACATTAAAATCCCTACCCCTGATCAATGACAGTTTGAAATTGATTCCCAGGACACGACACTATCAATCGATTTAAATATAACTTACATGTTGGACAGGGGCCTGAATAACAATCAAATGAGGCCAATTTGCACCTTTAATGGTATATTCAGACGAAAGACTGGGAGGTAAAAAGAGATGACCCGGCATTGGGCTCGCCTGGTCTACAAGAAATGTTCTTGTGCCCACGCGTTAAACTAAAAGAATGTAGACTCCCTTTACCTAGTGCTTGTCTGCATCTAGTACAGTGAAACCTTGTAGGCGTTGAAGTCATGGGTCCAAGTGTCGATAGACGCTTGATCGTAGACGCAGTACAAAATGGTACCATTCTTCTTCCACAGTGGACGCAACGGCTAGGTGCACAGCTGCTGCTTCTCACCCTTGTTCTGACCCTGGAGCACAGTGGCGTTCAGCCGGTCAGGGGCTTGACCCTTTTCAACCCACGCAATCAGCGTCTCCAGGGTCGTCTGGGGGAAGGGGCCATCGCTGGGAGTTACTGGGGCTGCAGTGTGCAGCCCCTGGGATCAAATAGAGGCGATACCAGTCCGCCATGGCGCGGCTGCCATCCTGGTAAGACGATTCCGGGTACATGGCCCTGCGCACTGACTCATGATAATGAACCGAGGAGCCAGCTGGAATACTGGAGTCTGATTCGCCATGAACCGTAAGGATCTTCCCACCGGCAGCTTGGAATGCGGTTAGATCGGGCATCGTGGTCTGCAAAACATCGTCGTACCGAGACCAAGCCAAGGCCATCCACTCTGCCACAGTATCATAGGTGACATTTTGCAAATTGGGGAGGTTGTCCGAGTCCACCAGCTGGAGGAATCAAGTAACCCATTCGCCGCCCAAGGACGTGATGTCCAGCCCCCATTTCCCGGTCTTCGAATTGTACCGAGTCTGGGCATCATCAAACGCAGCCGTTGGCTGGTACCAGATATAAGCTCGTTTCCTATCCAGGGTGTGAAGCCCCTCCGGCATTTTACTGGCCACGGCGGCACCCTTCAAGGACATAGTCCCGTTCTGAGCCGGGGTGGTGCTGTTCAGAGAAACGCGCTTCTTGAGCTGGGTAGTAGAGGAGGATGCTGCACAGGAGTAGTGTGCACCGATTGTCGAGTTAATGTTGAAGTGCAGCTTGCAGAGATCCGTTCGAGCCACGACGCCATCCTTGCGACCATCCAGAGTGTCGCAGGCGGTAATGGTCAAGTTCATGATTTTCTCCAGTTCGCAAGGATGGGGGTAGTAGCCCAGGGTGTGTTCCACCACGTCTGGGTAGAGGTGGTTGACTTGTTGCTGGCCATAGCGCATGGCTGGGGCGCCGATGACTGCGCCATCCCATTCCGTCGCATAGCGCTGTACTTGGCTCCAGCCTTCACGGCCACCCTCAGAACAACCCTGGTAGTAGGCATACAGCTTATCCTTGACCCCAAAGAATCGCTTGGTAAAGGCCTTTCCAATCAAAAGTAAGTTTGTGCTGGGCTTTGTATCCAAACATGTAGAGCGCGTCACGGTTGATTGTGCCGTTGGCAAGCAGAAAAGCGTCTTCGAGCTGTTGGGTGAAGCCTCCGAAGCCCCCGCCTGTGATGCCAGCGGCAGCGCCGTACATGACATCCCCGGGGAGAGAAGAAGAGCCAGAGTTAATAGCAAACCCCCCACCACCGGTGGAGAGCCAACATTTCTGAAACTTCTCTGGTACTGGTAACCAGAGTTCCAGGAGTACCTGGTAATGACGGCCTGCATGTGAGTAGGCGAAAGTGACGTTACAGTAGTCAAATGTGGCATCGGGGTAGAACTATTGACCCCTAGCCGAAGCGTTATACACAGGGGCTGCGGTCACAGAAGACGGCTTCATCACGAGGCCGTCAACGAGGCCACCTGGAGGCAGTGCCGACTGGGGGTGGGCGGTAGTGCAGACATCTTTCAAGCTCAGAGCATGGCTAGCTCAAGGGCGACGGGTACCGGCGAGTACCGAATGGAATCTCATTGCGCCGTCAAGATATCAAAATGGGTTTCAAAACGAGCAGCTTCAAGTGAGTGTGGCAGGTGATGCGAATACTTTAGGACGGGCGAAAGAATCTGTTTTAAATGGAGATCCTATGCTGCCCCATTGTCGGGAATCTAATTAGTGGTTACGACAACAGGCATCATCACCATCTGCCGCTTTTCTTCTTTTGTCACTCTCCCCGACGCGTCCCATGAGATATGTAGCTAGGAGGATCCACTCTCCAAGGCCCATTGGGCATTCTTAGTTCATTTGCAGAAGGGAAAAAGGCCGAAGGACGGAGAAAGAGGGATAGAGAAGCCCCTCACAGCTCGCTATGACGCGTCAAAGCGAACCATTCTAAGATTTAAGCATATTCAGTCTCGGACGAAACGTCTTGGCAGCGTCGAATCCGGAAATTTAGACCTAATCTCGGAGATAGAGACACTAGGCGTCCACGATGTGCTATATTGAATGTTCCCTTATGCATTGAATGGTCAGGTTCAGAATTGGATCGTGGTGCATAGGGCTGTTGCTATCTTTCCTTTTTTTTTTTTGTGCCTGGACATTCCAAGTTGCAGCCACCACAGTTCATTCTTCGACTGAATCGTGTTCGATATGGGCGGATAAAGTCAACTCCGCCGAACCGAAATCTACCGGTCGTTGATTATACGGAGTTTATCGCGGTGGAAACCAAGGAAAGAAAGAAATAGCTTCCACAAGGATGACCTTCTGTAGTCCGAGTCTATTCCGTGACTTGTACGTCAGGTGTTGATGTCTCGGCCAGCAAGCTGTTCCTCACTTGTGGAGACTGAAATTCTCAAAATCTGGATATGAGCTTGCATTAACTCTAGGAGATACCAAGGGATGTGATCCTCGCTTTTAAATCTGACGCAAGATACCTTGATAGTAAGAGAACGCTAAAACAAACCCGGTAGAAGGCGGCTGTTGTTTCTTCTGATGTGCTCACACAGGCATGCACCAAAAAAAAAAAAAAAAAAAAAAAAGAAGAAAAGGGAAGGGAAGAAAGGGAAGAAAAAAAAGGCCTTCTCGTATATGCCACAAAATGAGGATTTGCTGTAGTCTTTATCCCCATAGCTAGATCATACAGTCCAAAACTAGACCAGTCAACCTTAAAAAGTGTCCACTAACCCCTAAGCCTCAGCCGAAGATCTTGACCCCAGTACTGGATCTATCTCGAAGGAGGGTAGATCTTTAAAATTTCAAATTTCACTAGAATAAAGACCATCTAAGCATTGAAAGGGAAACCAAAAATCAAACAATCGAACAAGGGTATGTGTAGCTTTAAGATACAGTGGCCTGCGCAGAGTTGCCATCGACGCTTTCCAAATGCTTCACTTCCGATGCCTTGGCCACCTCTGTGACGTTCTCCGCAGGTGTATCTTTGGGATAGAAATTGATCTTGCCACCTTCTTGGATGACTCTCATGCGGTCCAGGCAAAGACGCGCTCGGACATAGGGGTCCAGCTTCCAGTGATTGACTCGCAGCCTCTCCGCTAAAAAGGCTCTCTGGCTCTCGCTCGCTTGGACCTTGTTGGCATCCTTGGATTTACTTGCTTCAATCCAGGACGAGGTGGTACTTAGGAATACCTCGCCAATTTGCTCCCGCTCGGCAAGAAGGGCGTCCCGTGTCGTCGTATCATTCATTTTGTCGTTTTCCTTTGCATCGGGCTCTATGTATTCGTATTTCCACTTCTCGTTGCCGCCGAGCTCCTCCACGATTTGATCTCGAGGAATGAACTTTTCCAGATCATCCGTACTGTTGGTGAAGGCGACCTTGGCGGCAATATCGGGGTCCATCCAGCCCCGAATCAGTCTCCATATGCCTACGAGAAAGCGTTAGACTCCGCATCAGGGTCTGGCATTCTATCGGGGGTGGAAGTAGACCAACCTGAAAACACCCATGGCGCGTTGTGGATCAATAGAATACCGAGGGATTCTGGGTAATTTGCTTCGAAGCATTTCAAGATAAACTTAACGGGCGGATACTCCTACACAGCAGATGTCAGTTGACGATCGATAGGGGTGTAATTAACGCGCATCACAGACTACCTACCATGTTGGATAGAGAGAACCCGGTCATGTCAAACAAAACAGCCTGCGGTATTGTCAGTCATCTGGTCTCCGAGGCAGAGGGGAAAGAGAACCCATACCGCTGTCTCGACCGGTGGTGACAGGGTCAATCGCACAGACTCAATGACATGGACGATGTAGCGTTCGAGGGTTTCCTCGCTCTGCGCACCGGGCTTGTGTAGACGCACTTTGACCACCACAATTGGGCGGCCCAGTCGATCGGTGCCATGCACATAACCCTTGCCCATGCGCATTTGGGCTAAAAGGTCTTTGCCCGCCTTTTGCTCGGCGGGATTGGAGTTGCTCCGGGACTGCTTGAGGGCATGGAGCTCACCCTTGGCCATCACGTCCCCATCGACATGCATCTCCTTGACCCGCCAGACGATTGCCTCCATCATCATCGCAAACGCCTTGGGGACATCCCACTTTCGAGCCCGCAGGAATCGCAGGAGCATTGCGTCGGGATGGTCGTGCTTGAGAGTATCCAAGACCCCTAAGCGAAGCTCACTAGGAGTAATATCCGATAATGCCTTTTGGATGGCTTTGGTCTCGGGTGGATTGGCGCCCAGCTCCTTAATGTAGGTCAGGATCTTTTGTTGGTAGGGACCAGCAGGGATGACGCTCGCAGTATCGGATACGTTGCTCTGAGTACGACTCAGGAGAGAAAGTCGTCGCTGGGGTTGGGGTGGGCTGGCATTCTCCTCGGTGCCGGCCGTCGCCGGTTTGGAGTCTTCCTCTCCTGATGGAGCTTCAGCTGCCTTCAGCAAAACTGACCATAGTTTCTGCAGGTTCGCTTCTTGAGTCGGATTGATGTTGCCCAGGAAGCCAGGGCGAGGTCCATCGGCGGCCATTTTACAGTGCAATCAACTCGGGTCAATGAGAGACGATCAAGATGAGGGTTGGAGTCGTCTGGGTTTCTCTTCTGCTGAGATCCCTTGTGTTTCCAAAAGGGGGGGGGGTTCTTACTTCACCTCCCCAGAGGCTGCCTCAGTGATATAAATCCTGACCCAGCTTGTGATCGACACCCATCCACATGAAACCCCTCCTTGAAGTGCGCCCCCGGATTCTGCCTCGGCCCTGACCAGAAATGTTGGGGGAAACAAGGTCCATGCGTCCCTCTAAGTGGTTTAGCAGGGTCAATCCGGCGCTGGCTGAAGGGTAATATGGGCGAGACAACCCACTGGTTTCCCCGGATTCCAGCAGTATTGGCCATCGCAGAGGACCTCGGGTCCTCGGTCGGTCCAGTAACATGCAAAATACATGTGGTGAGCGCCCACAATATTGGGATCGGGTGGAGTCCCACGTCATTTCCATTTCCAGGGATTGAATCGCGGGGAACCCCCCAACGCCGAATATTAGTCCTCGCTGGCTTGTCGATAAGCGTCTTTGCCCCCTCAACCTCCTCCTCCCCTCGGTGCTCGCCTACCCCTACCCCACGCCAGCCCCCCTTCAAGTATGTTTGGGGAATTTCCGCACAGCACCAACGTTCATGGTTTACCTTGAGAGAATTGTGCTTTGAGGAATAGATTTCCTCGTCCTTCCAAATGCAGTCGTCTGCTTGTCAACTCGTACCCCTGTTCCGCATGTTTCAGGACAGCATGAAGGGGAGCACCACGCCGATCCTCCTCTTTTCGTCGAGGTTCCCCCTTGATCGTCATGATCAACTGACTCTACTACCGTGACGCCCTGCTAACTATTCGGCGACTGATATTGAACCTTGGTCAGGATACCCATTATTGCGCTTTGAGCCATGCCTTTGGCAAACCCGGTACAGCCAACCTTGTATCCGTTTTCTTTCATGTTGAAAAGTCTCGGCACCTCAAGGGCATTTCTTGCACATTATGGGCGGTCCCATGTCATGTCGAAATTAGTCGGTGCCTCATGATCGACTCTAGCACTCGGCCATTGATACCTATCTTGGGGTGGACCCAATATAGATGTAGATGTAGCGCCGTGTATTTTCACGGCAATGACTAGGGACCCTTCCCCATCAGCCTGAAGCCTAATAAAAATAGCATTGCCACTGCACTGTCATAATTTTCTAGCATCGAAACACACGTGGAAGTCAAAAACGAGGTAAAATGGAATGTGACCTCTTGGTTGTCAGGGTTGCGGGAGAACAAGTACCAAGTTAAGCGTATACCTTAACAGATTCCAACCAATTTCAGAACGCTTATTTCAACATAGCTCAGAGATCGGGTTTGATTCGCCCATATTCGTTACTCTATTGGACCTACCTAAGCCTCTTTAAATGCAGACACTTGAAGGTTTCGGGGTTAATAGCTCCCGGTGATGAAACTGGCCGAGAGTGGATAAGATCAACTACAAAACCTATGCAACTTTGCATTGGTTTTTTGGTTTTGAAGTTGTTCTTATGTAGTTTTGTTTTCTCGAGGGGAAAAAAACCAACGGCAGGATGACTAATGTCTCGATATTTAACTAACTAGCCCTGGAGACTTAGGAGAAATAAGGGAAATGCTGGCTCTGACTCCATAGATATGTTATGTAGCCTTGTTTTCGCGGTCATAGTAAACTTCTTGCCTCCTCAACCGAAGAGATATTGTGGCAATGTGATTTTGAGATATACGCCCAATGCTTATCAACACCTTGTTGCGTACATGCTCACAGTTGTGGATTATTGACGAGTGTCTAGTTCCTACCAAGTCCTCTCAAGCAACTCGAAGCGGTGGGTAATGTCCACTATCGTCCACTATTCCCGATTATGAGACCTCTTATGTATTGTTGAAGGCAAAATGCCTGTGTTGGACGCTAATTGTGGAACTACCGTGAGCCTCTTTGCTATAACCAGGTCCGGTTGTCTCGAAAATCATGGGGCGGAAAAGGCGGTTCGCCTTCTCCAAACCACAGAGCATTACTGATCTATAGCCCATGGAGTAGACCTAATTATAAGAGGGGCTGAAGAAGTCATGTGTCGGAGACAATATGCTGCGGCCAACCTGCTAGCAGACTATGTTTTTGTGCATTTTACAGGTTCGAGTGATCATTTCCCTACAGAACCAGCCATTTCCCTCGCACAAGTCCTATTCGCTGTATGGCACTGTCAGATTTGAAACCAAGGAAGCAGAGGATTCCGGCATTGGCCCCCGAATGGACAAGCCCACCGCTTGGCAACTATAGACAATGGATGGTGTGATAAGAATGCCCGAGTGAGAGACAGGGGAAGGGAGAAGACAAATAGCAGCGCCCCAGACGAGGAAATAATAATCATACAAAATAGAAAAAACTCCTATCGAAGCCATCGCGAAGGTTCCGGGCGTATTCTTCGGGTGATTTCTCTGCAAGTGACAACTGGACTGTTCCGCCCTTACGCCCCCACTGTTGCGCCCCGGTGGACTCCAAGCATTTTATCGAACGCTCTTGACAGGATCAAGCTATCGCCATCAGCCACCGCGATTTGGATAGGGTCCACAAGGGCAAGGCCCAGGGCCTAGCGCAATCGCTGCGTGGAAGCTCGTAGCCAAATCCTTCTGCTCAGTTTCCAATCACGCAATTATGGCTCCAATCACCATCACAACTTCACCTACACCTGATCAATATAAAAGGTTCACGCGACACACATGCCATTGAGTTCTGGCACTTTTGCTTCCCCCGCTGCACTCGGCCTACCGACATGGCGCACCCGGATGAGCTCGACGAGCGCAAACTCCCCGATGAAGTTCAAGATAGTCAGCCCGCCGTTGGTGTGGGCGAATTGAACTTTGATGAATACACGCGGGGAGGCCTCGGTCGGCATATGGGAGTCTTTTCGACTATTTTTCTCATGTAGGTCGGGTTGACGATGTTCTCCCCTTTCTTCTGGCGTGTCTCGGGCTAAGACCTGATTTCTCTTTTCTTGTTTAGTGTCGGTCGCATGGTGGGAACCGGTATCTTCTCTACGCCATCGTCAGTCACAAACAGCGTCGGAAGCGTTGGCGCAGCATTGCTTCTGTGGGTATTAGGCCTCGCCCTTGCTGGCGCTGGGCTGTGCGTATGGCTGGAATTTGGGTGCATGATGCCACGCAGTGGAGGAGAAAAAGTGTACCTGGAGGCCGCCTGGGGTCGACCAAAGCTATTAATTACGGTGGTATTTGCCGTCCAGGCCGTTGCGCTCGGCTTCACAGGTATGGGCCTTGGTTGGTGGGTGGATCTGTGTGCCATGCTAATGGATTCCACCAGCCCAGGGATGCATCGTCTTTGCCTCGAATATTTGGGTGGCAGCAGGAAAAGAAGCCTCCGAGTGGGACCAGCGAGGTGTCGCTATTGCAGTGATCGTAGTCATCACCTTGCTCCATACGCTCGTTCCCAAATGGGGCGTTCGGGGCATGAACGTTATCGGTGTTTACAAAATCATTCTCCTGCTGTTTATTGTGATCACCGGCTGGGTGGTTCTCAGTGGACGCGCCTCGAGAATTCCCGACCCGCACGCCAGTTTCCATAATGCCTTTGCCGGGTCAGCCACCTCGAGTAATCTTTATGCGACCGCTTTGTTCAAGGTGTTGAATTCCTTCTCAGGGTAGGTGCCAAAGTGACCATTGACGAAGAGACATATTCTGACCGAGCGTTCTTCTAGATGGTCTAATGCGGCGTATGTGCTCAATGAGATCAAAAACCCGGTCCGTACTTTGAAAATCGCGGCACCCATTGGGTTATTGCTTATCGGCACGCTGTATCTGCTGGCCAACGTGGCATACTATGCCGCAGCCACCCCGGAAGAGGTTGCACAAAGTGGTGTGACCGTGGCTTCATACTTTATGGGCAAGGTGTTTGGGGAATCCGCTAAGCGTGCCCTCAGGTAAGTCAAACGCCGAGCAAAGTAGGCGCCCCGGGAACTGAATTCCTAACACGGCAAATAGTGTCCTGATTGCCATCTCTGCATTTGGCAATGTGATGACCGTCACCTTCGCCCAATCTCGAGTCAACCAAGAGCTGGCCAAGGAAGGGGTGATCCCCTTCCCGGAGTTCTGGGCATCGAACTGGCCATTTGGCTCACCGTCGAGCGGTCTGTTGCTGCACTTTATCCCATCTTTCATCATTATTGTCGCTATTCCGTTCGGCGATGCCTACAACTTCATCCTCGACCTCGAGGGTTACCCGGCCAGTGTGATCAACTTCTTGGTTGTTGCAGGCCTGTTTTATCTTCGGTGGACCGCGTCCGATATTCCTCGACCATTCAAAGTTTGGTGGCCTGTTGCTTTTTTCTTCATGGTTGGCCAGGCGTTCCAGTTGGTCGCACCATTTATTCGACCTCCCGGAGGAAAGGGAGACACCTCATTGCCATACTGGCTGTCTTCTGTGGTCGGCATTGTGGTGCTGGTGCTAGGCGTAATATACTGGGCAGCATGGCAGAAGATTCTGCCAGCTGTGGGCAGGTATAAGCTGGTTCCAGAGCACAAGGTGCTGTCTGATGGTACAACGGTGGTGGTCTATAACAGGGAAAAGCTTGAATAGGCCGCTTAGCAAAAGCCTCATGGGCGAAAGCCAAACATTCTTGATCTACTTGTCAGTCAGATTAGAACAGCCACCTCGTTTCACCGCATGCTAGTCTTGTGTTACGAAAACATGCAGAAATGAGATTATAGTGCCAAAATGAGGCACCGAATTCGTCACAATAATGTTCGCTGAATGCTTTTTAGGACTTGGAATGTTTTAGATCTGAAGAGCAGGTAACCTAGAGCATTTAGTCTTGTAATAGATGGTGGACTAGTTCGAAGTCCAATAACTGAAGATGCAAATTAATCAATAAACGTCACCACTACCACACCCCTAATACGGATCTCTCCGTGGATCGGCTGTTTGTGGGTTCATCTGGAAGCCACCAAGAAAATGATCACGAACATTCTATGGATGCGCATGCACCGAGGGAGCGGTCAGCCTCGATCGATCCCTGGTGATGTCATGAAGTGAGTGGGCCTACTGCGCAGTCAGCCTCTGCATTTAACCACCACATCCAAGCACCCTTGGTATTCCCATGCTTAAGATGTCTGAACGAACAACTTATTTCCCTCTCTTTGGGGGCCCCAGGTAATTAAATGGGTGACAATTCTTTGCATAACCTCAGGCCTTAGTTTGCTGATTCAACAGAGAATGGGCACCTAATGACTGGACAGCCTCTGACGACCACGTTCGAGGGGGGTCATCTCATTCCATTCTTACCTGTTGTCCAGACTCGTCTATCGCTAGTTTTCATGGGAATCTCGATGTCACGACCCTGGGAGGTGCAGGCTTCGCATCACAGCGTACGACAGGGCAGCAGCGGTTGTGGGATCTCTCCAACTACGACGGACTAGAATTAGCTGTCAACCATGCCGACGGAAAACTCTACACCATCACGCTAAAGAATGAGATTCTTCCCAAGAGACCAGACGGGAGAGAACAAAGTACCTTGAGTTGGGAGTATGATTTCCGGTCGAAGACTCCGCAGACTATCCTCATTAGATGGGATGATTTCAAGCCGACATACCGGGGGAAGAAAGTGCGGGACACAAAGCCCCTGGATCCTGGTAATGTGAAGAGAGTGAGCATCATGATTCGAAGGTAGGGCTTGCCTCTTCTTTAGTGTTATGGAGCATAAGTGTGTTGACTTTTCTTAGTTTTTTCGGTGAACAGCAAGGCGAGTTTTCTCTTGAGATTGTTTCCTTAGCCGGGTTTCGGATAGAGCACTACCTGGATGACCCGGAAAAGGCGGATTCGGTGAGTCTGGCTTTGGATGGAAAGACGGGCAATGCTCCAGAGACTAGAAAGCACTGGGGAGTGCTGGCATGGCTCGGTCAATGTTTTGGTTCACGATGATTTTAGCAATCTAGGTATCGACTGTCTTATATTGTTAGCTGAAACTCGTATTTGGCTTCTTCGGTGCCTTTGTTGCTGTTGTTCAGAGAAGGTACATTGGCAGGGCAGTCAATAACATCACTCCATGTTTCACGACGGCAGTTACGGCGATGTGGTTTGGTATCTACCTATTGACTTCAGCATCCTCACAAGGCGGTCTTCAGTTATACCTCGACTGTATGAAGAAAGTCATGGAAAAAGGCGATTGGATCGACAATCGTAAACCGTCGTTTCTGCCACCCAGTTCCTTTTTGGTACCTTCAAGAGGCATATCACAAAAGGGCCTAAGATCTCCTTTGGCTAGATGATTGTTACCAAACAGGAAATCACCGGGAAAAGCTGGAGGTGGAGCGCCGAGTTCGAATAAATAGCAATATTGGGCCCATTAATAGCCCATTCATAGCTATCGATATCGATTCACTTAATGCCGTCTCCAATTTATTTGGGTTTAAAGTGGATGCATCGAAATTTGGGATTTGGGGGCCAGGCCCACTGACCTTGAGAATCTTGGATAGGCGAGGGATAGCAAAGTGAGGTATTGCTTCGAGAAAAGAAAACTGCTGGCGTGGCCCTGTTCAGTGACTGAATTAGCATAACAGATGCGATTTGTCTGGTCACCTTGACTTATGTTGACAAACTTTCAAGATCATGCCTTTAAATACGATGTATTTTTGCAAACTAACCGTCGCCAAGCTATCATTGTTATTTCTCAAAAAGAGGGAGACGAAATAATGACTCTAGCTGCCTGAAGCGAAGTAACGAGCAAAACTATAATCCCCCCCCCCCCTACGCCGTCAACTAGGAGTGGTTAGACCTCGCCCCTACCCTACCCTTTTGTAGGTGATATTTTGCAAACTCCATATTCATCCTTGTCTAGCCAATTGAATTTTATCCACTGAGCAGGACAAAGCCCGACGCGAAGGAGGATCAGTTCCATTGCATAGCCATGAATATTCCGCTGACACACTTTTAAAATCCCAAAGCCCCTTGAAGGTTCCCTGGTTTGTGCCACTCGACGTCGATCTCTTCCTTTCATATCGGGAACACAGAGCTTTTCGAAGAACAAAGGGAGGTCTTCTATGCATGCGTCATGTCTGCTGAGTTAAAGGAGGCCCATCATACCGGATACGAGTCAAACCCAGCGTCTTCTTGGTCAGACCATGGCGAAATTTTTAGCAAAGGTGATGACCAGGTGGACTTTTGCACCGTGAGCTGGGTGCGAGCAGCGGTGATATTTTTAAAGCGTAAGTCAATACTGCGTTTTCCAAAAGCAGTGTACTGCCCTAGCCGGCTCCAAACACATCAATGCGGCTGACAAGTTGATTGTCCAGTCATTTTTGCCACAGGAGTGCTTTCAATTCCCTCCCTGATGTATGAACTCGGCGCCTTTCCGGGTGCTATCAATGTTGTGGGTTGGGGCATCCTGAACACATACTGCGCGATCATCCAGGGAAACTTCCGCCGTGAATACCCCGAGTGTCACACCATTGTTGATATGGCCTATATCGTGGGTGATGGAGCTCTGAAGGAGCTTGTTGGACTGCTTTCAGAGTGGGTTATGTGATTGTCGCCGCATCCAGTATCATTGGAGTCTCGACAGCGTTTAATGCACTATCTCTCCACTCGACTTGCACTGTATGGTTTTCTTTTATTGCAACGGTCATTATCGCCTTGTGTGCGAGCCTACGCAAATTCGGCCATATCGGGTGGCTGACATGGGCCGGATTCCCAACATTTATGTGGCGGTATTCATGATTGTGTATGCTTTTCAACATCCTCCCTTCGTTCATATCGGGAACACCAGGCTAATCGTGATCCCTAGTATCGGTGTTACTATTCAAGCTCGGCCTGCTGCAGCTCCCAAGTGGGCGATTTCGAGCTCGGATATCAAGCGATTGGTAGCCCGAATTTTATCTCGGGCATCACTGCATCAGTGACGATTTTTGTGTCCAGTGCCGGGACCTCAGCCTTTATCCCTGTTATTGCAGAGATGCGGAACACCAAAGAATACCCCAAATCAGTCTACCTTAGCATGAGCTTAGCGACAGCATCCTATCTGACATTTAGCCTCGTGATTTATGCTTGGTGTGGTAAATGGATTGCCTCGCCCGCTCTCGGAAGTGCAGGTGGAATCGTGAAGCGGGTTGCATATGGAATTGCATTGCCCGGTCTGATTATCAATGGCTGTCTCTACGTGCATATTGCCGCCAAGTAAGTTTTCGTGCGGATTTTGCGGAATTCTCGACATTTACAGTCCAACACGATCGTCCACTGGGGAACTTGGTTGGGATGCATCAACACAATCTCAGCGCTCTCTTTTATCCTCGCATGTGCAATCCCTATTTTCAACTATATCCTGGGGTTGGTAGGGAGCATCTGTTTCTCCTCGTTGGCACTGAGCCTGCCCGGGTGGCTTTTGCTTTATACGCATGGCCACTATCGAAGGGAAAGTGCAATCCAGATGACCATCTACGGGTTACATGTTTTGCTTGTGTTACTGGGACTATTCATGGCAGTTGGGGGAGCATATGGAACAGAAGCCCAGATAAAGCAGATCTATTCAGATGACCAAGTCACAGCGGTGTTTTCATGCGCTGATAATAGCAACTCGTGATAGTCTGGCAGGATGAATAGCATACTGATCATCCGACATGAATATCTTGATCGCCTCTGGCCGTCCACGAGTCATTGTTTCTGTATGGCATGAAGATTTTGTCCCCTAAGCTTCTCATGTCCCAAAGTCCTCACGGATTTTCAAAGTGATGATATCTGAACTACTCTGCTACATCGCCCCAGTAGAAGTGGTGGCAGCATTGAATTTCTTGGAAACCGGGGCAATCTATGATTTAAATACTAACAAGATAATAATGGAAATACATCATAAATTAAAAACCTCATGTGACGATTCTAAAAAGTATGTCATTGTTTCGTGACTCCCGCTACCTAGTCATCTTGAGTGAAGGTGGTGTAGCTGCGGATGGTGGCCTCATCAGCCTGCTTTAGTAGGCTGGTAACATTTGTGACCCATACACCGGCGGCCAGGTCCCCGGTCCAGGTTAAAGTTAACGGCTTACCGTCCTTCGTGGGCGCATCGTCGGGGATTACATCGTCAGAATCCCAATCAGGAATATATGAAACGACATCATCGTGGGCCAGCGGACTCGATTCTGTCACATTATAATGACGGTTGGCAAGGGTGTAGGGGCATTTTTTGTTAGTAACAGAAGATAGCGCGTAGGTCGTGCAATAGTCGACCTTGAGAATGCAGCGACCGAAGTGTATAAGCCCACAATTGCCAATTCGCATCTTCACGTCACCATCCTCGTTTGTCTGGATCTGGTCATTGACCTGCTTGCTGTACATTCGAAACAACCTATGCAATCGTTAGTCTTTTTTTTAACAGCGGCGGAGGGGGATGGAACTTACCCCTCAACAATCTGTGGCTTTGTCATGCCATGTTGGGGATTGGCCTTCCACTCATCAATACTCCCATTCTGGGCACACCAGTACTCGACCTCGGCGCTGCCACCGGCGTAAGCGTTGTCAAGATTAGCCCCAACGGTGCCACTGTCCACTTTAAAGGAGGCATAAATGTCCAGGTTGTAGGGCAGATGGGCCCAGGCCCAATCGCTGTCGGGTTCGCCTGGGTCCACCGGGTAGTGGACAAGCCAGTCTGGAAATCTTAACGCAGCATTGAGGGCATCAGTTTGCGCGACGTTGCGGCACTCACTCGCACCTGTGACGTGCTCCTTTCCAGGAGTGACCCACATGGGTTCCATATCTTTTTGGAGGAGGTATGGTGTGCCAGCAGGCGCGGGTCCCGAGTAAGTCTTGCCTTGAACCTCCCCCCAAGTAGTGGTTTGCGAAATGTAAAGAGTGACCTCGCCGACTTCGTCCCACTGAGTGGCAACTGTAGCGGTCATGATTGGGGCGTGGGTAGGCGGGGGCTTGTTCGTGGTCTTGGTCGGAGGGTTCGAATACCAAGGATCATAGGGCCAGCATTCACCAGGAACCTTCGGCTTCACAGTCGCGTAGTGTGCTTGACCATCGGTAGTTGTCGAGCACTGGCATTCGCCCGATCCGTTTGGACCTCCGTCGTTGGTGCATTTAGGATCATTCATCAGGGACTTCAAGACGGCTGCAGGCAAGCCATAGTTGATTGACGAGGTGGATGAAGTCCGCGAAGAGGTAGTGGACCTAGTGCCAGGCCTGCGGGTGCAGGCAGAATGGCCACTCGATCGGCTCATAGGGGTCGAGCTCGCACTGGAGAGTGACGAAAGACTGCCAGGCCTGCGGGTGCAGGCAGAATGGCCACTCGATCGGCTCATAGGGGTCGAGCTCGCACTGGAGAGTGACGAAAGACTGCCAGGCCTGCGGGTGCAGGCAGAATGGCCACTCGATCGGCTCATAGGGGTCGAGCTCGCACTGGAGAGTGACGAAAGACTGCCAGGCCTGCGGGTGCAGGCAGAATGGCCACTCGATCGGCTCATAGGGGTCGAGCGCACACTGGAGAGTGACGAAAGACTGCCAGGCCTGCGGGTGCAGGCAGAATGGCCACTCGATCGGCTCATAGGGGTCGAGCGCACACTGGAAAGTGACGAAAGACTGCCAGGCCTGCGGGTGCATGCGGAATGGCCACTCGATCGGCTCATAGGGGTCGAGCGCACACTGGAGAGTGACGAAAGACTGCCAGGCCTGCGGGTGCATGCGGAATGGCCACTGGATCCGCTGGATTTGGGCACGGGGGTTGAGCGCATACTGGAGAGTGAGGGAAGACTCCCAGGCCTGCGGGTGCATGCGGAATGGCCGCTCGATCCACTGGACTTGGGCACCTGGGTTGAGCGTGAAGAACTTCCCGTCAGATGGAGAGATGAAGCGAGGCTGCCAGGCCTGCGGGTGCATGCGGAATGGCCGCTAGAACTTCCTGTCCTTGAGCTGCCTGTCCTTGAACTGGACTTGCTCATGGATGTCGAGGAACCGCCTGACGTGGATCCAATACTGAGGCTGGGCTGAGACAGGGTACTGTACTTTGAGCGCCTGCTACATGCAGATGCCGGCGTGGTTGTGCTCCGTGGGGTGGATGTCGACGACGAGGAAGATGACTTGGATGACTTGGACGAGGATGAGGATGAAGACGACTTGGACGAAGACGATGAAGACGACTTGGACGAAGACGAAGATGACGACTTGGACGAAGACGAAGATGACGACTTGGACGAAGACGAAGATGACGACTTGGACGAAGACGAAGACGAAGACGAAGACGAAGACGAAGACGAAGACGAGGAAGAGCTTGAGGAGTCCGAGCTTGATGATTCCGACGACGAATCCGAAGATGTTGACGACTCTGAATCGGTGGAGTCTGAATCGCTATTGTCGTCGCTGTTGTTGTTGTTCTTGTTTTCGTTGTTTGCTTGCGACGTGCCCCCCTTGATGTCCTTCAACGGATTGTCGATATTCGGCGGGCCACCAAGACTTGGTAAACTTGGAGCATTTGCTCCCCCTCCCAATGCCGCACCTATCTTTGCGGCTGGAGGGCCGATGTCTTTTCCGACCTCCGACACGCCTCTCAAGGCTTTTTCCAATCCGCCCGTAAACTTCCCAGAAGCAGCACCGCCGCCAACAAGACCAGCAGCAGCACCGAAGAGCCCCCCGAAAGCACCACCACCGCCGTTATCATCATCCTTGTTGTCCTTGTCCTCCGGATTCACCTCTTTGATTTTTTCGTTGGCTGCCTTGTATTTGTCCTCAGTAGGATCTTCCTTGGCACTGCTCCACAAGGCCATCGCGTTCGTCAACGAGCTCTGGTATTTTCCCAGGAGCGCAATGTACATGGCGGTAGCAGAAGACGACGCTGGAGGCTGAGTCGTGACCATCGAACCCGCCAGATCGCTCTCGGCAGATGGGGTCTTGGTGACAACCACAGGGATGGCAGTGGTCGAGTCTCCATCGGCTTTATACAGGGTGGATGTAGACTTGACCGGGTGGGCAGTTTGCACGATGACCGTGGGGATGGTCTTGGTGGATGATCCAAAAGTCGAGTAGAGGTCGGTGGACTTACTCACCGGCACAGGCGGAAGGATGGCTGCTCCAGAGTCGCTGGATGATCGAGAAGATCCCGCGGAGCGTGTACCAGCCCTGTCTCCTGAAGCGTTCGACGGGCCAGGCTTGCCACCAGCCGAAGAGCTGCCTGGAGATCCGGAGCCATTCGGGCCTGAAGCATCGGCCGAGAGAGACGAAGACGGTCCAGGCATTCCCTTACTGGACCCCTTTCCTGACCCTCTGACCGAAGCTGGCGGATTGTTCGGGCTGTCGCTGTTGGAAGACTGTCCTGTGGTTCGGGGACCACCATGCGGGGAATTGGGGACTCCAGATGACGCCGGGCCCTTGGGAGGTTTATTGGTCCCTTGAGCGCCGCTAGTCTGGGCACCAGAAGGTCCCGAGGAACCCGAAGGCCTGGGAGCTTGTTTGGTTGTTCCAGTACCGTGAAGCGTGCCAGGAGGCCCCGAGGAGCCTGAAGGCTTAGGAGGCTGGCTCCCAGAGGAATTCACCAAGCTTTTTGAGCCTGGCTTCCGGCCATCGGATGTAGCGGCGCCGCCGGCTGGGCCGTTGTGGGGAGTTGTTGTCGTGGGCACCGGAGGCCCTTTCGTGCTGGTTGGACCATGGCTATGGCTGGTCACAGCGGTGAACCTCCCGGCTGTAGTTAGGAAAGGTGCCGGAGCTGACTGGGCTAGGGCCTCAGCAGCGAGGAGGAATAGGACCAGCAGAGTCCTCGGGCTCCCAGTTCGAGCCATTGCTATGGCAAGAATGAGCCGAGCACGGCACAAAGAAGGGAAGGAAATATGATTGACCTTGGTGGCGTGAACGAAGGCCAAAGGGACAGAAAAAGCAAGAGAAAAAAACGGAACCCCTACGGGGGGAAGAAACGCTATAATCTATATAGGGGGGCGTGGGAGGATTTTCGGGCGAAATGCGTGTACTACTATTCTCAGTTCTCAGTATAGTACAGTGGATGCGCCCTAAAATCCACCGTCTAGGATATCAATGGTAAGACCAACCACAAGTGGGGCCCTGGGCCATGTCCTCTTTTTACTGTAGTTCTCGCTAGCACGAATAGTAACCGTGGACGAATCTGAATTCGGGCCATATGTAACGAGGGTACAGTATCTGTTGATCAACCCTAATACAAGAAGGTATCATGCAGGCACAACAGGCGTGGGGCGCCACACTAACCAACTGCCCCGATCCACCTTTGTGGGGCGGTTGGTTCCTGACCAGCCCAAGGTTATCGACGGACAACTTGGGGGCTACCGGCCCCCGATTCCTGCAAATACGTCAACCAACAACTGAACCTGTGTATGTTCAGTCTTGCATGAACCATATATTGGTTTATTTATTTATTTACTTATCTACCTATGTACATATCTTCCTGTAGTGCCCATGGCATGGAATGAATATTCTTAAGATATTGAACCCCGATCGCTTGAGAGGCATGCTTAGTAGATCAAATGCCCTCTCTTCTGATGCAATTTGGCCCCATGATCCCAGTAATCTACAGCCCGAAGCATCCCCATGCGCTAAGAAAGAAAGGAGGATTAGTATTATAAGGATTACAGTAAGACCTACCTTACTATGTACTGTACTGTACATACGTAGGACTCAGGTTCTATTATTTTACCCTCCCCCACAGGGTACTTTCGTTTCTTCTTTTTTATATGATTATTGTCTCATTCCACTGCCAGTTCACCTTCGAAGTTTCGATGGTACATTCATGTGCAAGGCAGCCGTTGCGTCAGACATTCAACCCTTTACAGAGTATGAAGCCGAGTTAGTAGTCAGTTTAAAAAATCTTCTCGAGTCATAGCTTATCCTACAGCCTCGTATATCCCCTAGAATATCCTATCTACATAATACCTCCCCTAATAGATTCACCTCACTCGCCGGAACAATCAAGAGATACATCCATAGAGATTCCATGGTTTTAGTTTGATTAATGAGCCCCCCGATCATGATTATGATTGTGGTTATGATTTTTTTCTTCTTCGGCTGAGTGAGACCTTAAATTAGATTAATTATAAGTCCCACCCTTCTAGCCTGATGAGGAATAGTCGCTTAAATCAACTTCCAGCTTCCCTCACTTGGCCTCGTTGGCCCCGCCCGTCCGCTCATAATCCAACATAAGATCCAAAACACCCACGGCCCCAATCCGGCCCCAGCCCCGCCCCAAGAAAAAATAAATTACATTCGTTGTTTACTCAAAAGCGTTAAAAGGGGTAGAGATTATCTCCTAGCGAGGTTATGATTGCTCATGATATTATTAGAATATGCTGGAATTCTTCTACGTGGTACTAAATCCATAGATCTTCTACGTAATTGGATTTTGTTACTAGTCATTGCGAAACACGCTCGTTTTTTTTTCTCTATTTTCTATTTTCATCCATCCATTGTAGTCCTATCACAGTTTTTGGTCTAGATGGATCTTTTGGCTCCCTGATTGATATTCCCAAGGCTTAACTACCACATTCTCAAACCACTTCTCTGAAGAGAAATGTTGGCTATTTTTTCACCGTCACCGTATGCGCCCTGCTATTAGAATAGGTCTGGCGAATATGGGTGTCCTAAATTAATGTCTTGGGCATCGGAACCCAAGGAGCATATAAATATATATTTCTGCATTTCCCAGTAACACATTTTCCCATTAGGGTATCAGATGGACCAATAATGAGCCAATGTATTTAGTATGATTAAAACTCAAGTGAAAATACCCACGTTTTAATCCCTTGGATGATCCCAAGTGAGGCTATTCGATGCTTTTCTTCGAGAACAAAGCAATAATCGAAGACTTAGGGACTGACGTGACAAGGCAAATTAAGCCACACCGGGCGGTGGACTAATTTAATCTCCGAAAAAAGTCATACACACACACATACCATGTACTTCGCTACTATCTCAGGACTTCTCAGTCAAACTCTGGCCGAAAGGACCTTGGGAGTCGTATTCCTGCTGGCATTGGGGTATGTTACATTTGCAGAGATTCTCCGACCACATTGACTCATGCCACGAAGGGCGATTAGAATCTGGTATGCCACCGTTGTTCTTAAGCCCGTATTGTGGATCCGGCCCATATAACCCGCCATTCCAATGGATTTGTGATAGGCAACAACGCAAAAATTGACAAAGTAACGATGCTAGCATTCGAAGCTGAAAAAGTGGGTTGCAGCGATAGAAAATGCTCCATCAGCAGCTTGAGCACCCCTCCCACCACGTTCGATACAATAGTTATCGGTGTTAACCTGGGAGGCCGCGGCGAAGTCGCTGCATGCACTATGAATAACAATACTGCTCAAGGCCAAAAGGAAGATGCAGATACAAATTCCTGACATGACAAAAAGTGTCAGCTATGGCGGCATTCCAGCTATTATTGCTGTTCATGCTCCCACTTGTTAATCAATCTCGATCGATGACCCGGGAGCTCCCTGGCTGGCCGCAACAAAAGTCCAATGGCTGCAGAGCTACGCTAGCTTCGACCATAATGTGTAGAGAAATTGAATCCTCTGCAGCTTCACCTAGTGTCGTTCAGCCTTCATGCTCTAGTGCTGGATGATCATGTTAGCCCACCCCTGGACCTATACAAAACGCCAGGAAAGTAGTTTGAAGTGAACCCATTATGCCTAATCCTGGTTTCTCTGACACGTTGACTTGGTGTTCTTTTCTTTTCTTCCTTTTGCAGTGGACCTCCCGAGGAATTAGTTTCATCGATGATCTACGCGCCTTACTGGCTGTGGTTGAACAAGACGCAAAGGGCGATAAAGGAAAATTTATTTGATCCAATTCTCGGGCTTGCATCTCCCAGAGATGCGGCTTGGTGGCTCCACAGAGTGGCTATCGTAGCAGTGGAACACCGTCAGCAATCTTGAGGGGACAGAAGATACTGATAACCAGGGCGATATCGGATGGGGTAAGCTCGGATGTAGAGGTTCAGTTGGGAGCGTGTATTGGATCATGGCCCCTAATGGGGACACGCAATGTCACTAGTCTTCAGCCGCAGAGTGGAGTGTCGCGATTTTAGTAGGATCACGGTCTATCACGGTGTCAACCGAGTTCAATCTGCACTAGAAATCTCTACCAATAATCATAAAAGGATGACATAGTGTATCTCATGCCACATGGAAAGAAAACGACAACAGGACCACGGATCAGCCTATGCAATTTATCCACATTCCTGCGTCGCCATATTGGCAATGAATGCAGCATCCATATGGGTTCCCGTAGCCGTTTAGTGACACCGATGGGCATTCCCATCGCCACGTCCCCGACATTCACGTTCCCGACCCCATTCCCATATTTCGTACAGATCCCCTGCAGATTGAAGCGGTGTCACAAGATATATCCTGCAGGGCGGAAACTGGCTGAAGTGTATAGAACTCTGTTTTAAAGCGCCCAGTATCATGGACGATAGCTGCTATCTTGGTATATTTTTGGAAATTCAGCAGCCCTTCTGGGGTACGAGATGGATGACTATCCTCGACAAAGGGCAGATCTTCGAGGTGAAGCCCTGGTCGACAGACTCACTCAGCACAAGAGACACGTCAGCCCATGAAATTGACGGAGAATTAGCCAATTAGCCCCACGTATTGTCTCGCAGTAGTCGCCAAAGTTCTTAGTGCTCGACATGAGCCGGCGCAGGGGGTGGAGAAGATGCAAATACGTTTGTTGATCTAAGACCAAGTTTGATCGAGGGGGTAGATAAGTGCACTGCCAAGACAAGAAATAATGGATATCATGGTCGAATAGTTCATCAGATCCCGGCATCCCAGGAGTTATGACGAGAGTTAGTCTATATGTCCATGCTGAAAGGATGACGCTGAAGTTGTTTTTCTTTCTTCTTGTGTTTTTTTTGGGGGGGGGTTTAGTATGAGCTTGGGATGGCGTGCCAAACTCCATTGCCTTAAAACTTATTTCGCTTGGGTGATCCATCTGCAAAACCAATCTGAGTCTTGATTGTGGCTTGCCATTCTGGGAACGGGAATAATCAATCTGAATAGATATATTTGGAAGTAATTTTTGACATTACCTCGTCCTCACTAGGTGGGCTCACTTCTGGACGTACTAACATGATCCTAAGGGGAATTGGCATGATCTAGCAAGACTCCATGTCTAGCGAGACTACTTGGTTTCTCCTTCCATTGATTTTTGCTTATTCTTACATCCCCTGGGTGTGAATGCATGTTGTGCCCTTAAGACAAATATGTGAAAGTCTCAGGAAGGTCTAGGGGAAGCTGGGGAGAGCAGAACTGCTGAGGGGAAAGACCGCAGAAGAGAGAATCTAAGTGTCTATAGGAGAGAAGAAGAGAAGCGAAGCTATCTGCTACCTACGTCCGCTGCGGGCGGTCAGGGAGGCGGTGGAGAAAGGCTGGCGGAACCCCAGTCCCAACAGAAAGGAACTTGGCACATGTATATATATCTATATCTATATCTATACTAAAAAGAAGAAAAAAAAAAAATAGGTCCATTTATTCGACTAGAGATTTGATTAAAAGTATGATTTCTACTAATTGCATTGGTTGTTGCTAACCGCGCTCAACCAGCATACTCGGCCACCTCTTCAACCCCAACCCCTTTCTCCAATTCCTCAATATTTCACCCACCATATATGGTCATTGAATCAATCATTCCGCTTAGCCAAGAGTCATCAGGGAAAGCATTCTCTGGCGGATGGCGGAGCTCTTCCGCTCGCTATAACCGCGGATCCACCGGATGGCCGAGGATGGGCCCACCTGAATCCCGCGCTCAGAATCGATGCCGAGTCTCCCTTGCACTTTGTGTCTGCTACGAAATGCCCTTTCCCCAGTTTGTGCAGTGCAAGCCTCACTATGGACCATCAGCCTCGTGACACTCGCAAGCGCCGAAAAATTGCGGTTGCTTGCGACGACTGCCGTGCCAGAAAAGTGCGCTGTGATGGGATGCAACCCGGTAGGTGGCTTTTCGTAAAGGGGTCGTTCGGAATGCGACCCGTGCTCACTTGGAGACAGTCTGTGGACCATGCTCCCGAAGAACCGAGCGCGCCCAGTGCATCTACACAGGTGACTTGGAAAAAAAACGAGCTACGCAGACGTAGGTCGCCCTCGATGTAATCCTGCCAGCTTATACGAGCTCCAGACGTCTGACGTTTTGCCTCGGAGACGATCTAGTTACATCACCAGTCTTGAGAGCCGGCTCAAACAACTCGAAAGCCCGAAAGGCCCGGAAAGGACGCCGGCATCATTGGATCCGCCTGTTCGTGCATCTTTCGGCCTGAAGTTGTTCCTTCTGACAACTCCATTAGCGCCTCTCTTTGGAATCGCCGTCAAAGAGCTTACAACCCGAGTCTCCTGCCGAACATGCACAAAGTGTCGGAAGACAGCGCAGAGTCTCCGTGGCTGGGGGCGGCGCTGATGGGGTCAATGCGATGATGGGTGCTGTGGAGGAAGAACGTGCCAGTCAAGGCTTTTTTGGCAGCTCGAGTGCCGCCGGGTTTATGCGTCAGATCAAGACGGCAGTTGATAAGAGACTCGCATCGCCGCAGCACCTTGAGCCGGTTCAGGATAGAGCTATCCCGCCGAGTCTTATGCGAACCGGTAGTGACCGGGTTCAACCTGCAGTCGCAGATTATGTCCTCCCCCGCGGAAGACAGCGGACAGCCTCATGGATGTTTATTGGGACTATGTCTTCCCATTGTATCCATTTGTCGACCGTGCTCAGATGAAGGCCGAGTACTACAAGATTTGGACGGGAGACAGCCCCCAGTACGATGAAAACATGCTGATGTGCACGTTCAATGTGATATTTGCCCTAGCAAGCCAGCTGGCTGATTTCATCGTCCCCGAGGAGAGGGAACCCGCGGCAGACGCGTTCTTCTCCCGTGCCAAAGGGTTGTTTCAATTCAACCTCTGGAACACAGGGTCGACCGGTTTGATTCAGTGTTTACTGTTGATGGCCCAATATCTACAAAGTACTGACTCTGCGCATCAGTGTTGGATAGTGACGGGATTAGCCATTCGCAATGCACAGAGCTTGGGTATTCATCTTCCTCAGACCATTGCTCGGCTTGATAGTTTTCATGAGCAGCAGCTGGCGCGCAAAATCTGGCATGGATGTGTATTGATGGACCGGTGAGACTGCAATGAACATTGTTGATCTTGTTCCCGCTTTGTCTTCTAACTATACCCCTCGCAGGGTCATTTCCATGACATTTGGCCGCCCCGCCATGATAACAAAATCCTCGAGTGGAGCTGTTCCATTGCCCGCTGCCATAGACGAAGAATACATCCCAGTTGAATCAAGCGCGGAAGCCGCCCAGCCCGAGAACAGGCCCTCCATGATGGCATTTTATGCCAAGTCACTGGAACTGTACGAGATCATGAATGATGTCCTTCTCAGTTTATACAAGCCGATGTCCGAGGAGACTGCGGAAGATGCCCACGACTTTTATTTCAGCAGTGCGACCAGCGAGGGAGAACGTACTATTTTTGACCTCGACCGTTCTCTGACTCGTTGGACCCGAAGCCTTCCATCTTATCTACGTGGGACATCGTCGGTATCGTCTGGGAATCCAATTCTCCATCGCCAAAGCATTGTTTTGCGCGCAAGGTCAGTCGCTAAAATTTCCACTTCGCACACCAATTAACCCGCTCATTGTCCTAGATTTCTCCATGTGCGAGTGCTTCTCTTTCGACCAACTCTGTCAAAATATTGCTCTGTGCGCGACAGTTCGGCAAGTGATCCATTGGACTTCATGCATGATTCCTTCCCCCGACGTGTCGCATTGCAGTGCTCTATCATTTGTGTCAAGGTGGCTCAAGAGTCCATCGATTTGATCTACAATAACGTGCCGGCTGACGGCACGGGTGGTCCGTTGCCCGCATGGTGGTATAATATTCTCTGTTAGTATGGCCTTGTCATGGGATGTCATCCGCGATGCTAATTTGGCTAGATATATATACGGCTGCAACAGTCTTAATTGCCGGTCGTCTGTGCTCTGGAATAATAGCAGAAGTGGCAGAAGCTGCTGTCACTCGGTCCTGGGATTGTGCGCTTGAGATCCTTCGCAAGTACCAGGGCTATAGCACATCCGCACGACGCTGTGTAGCAGCACTTGAAATTCTGTACGAGCAGGTGATGTCTGAGGGCTCAACAGCGGGTCACACCCCGAATCAAGAGACTACTGATCATGCACTCGGCGCTCTGAATGACATTTCCTTTGGAGAAGGAATGAATGCAGCCATCATGGACAATTTCGAGTTTCCCGATTTCCAGGATATGTCTTGGCTAAACAGTGTCCCAAGTAATTTGTTCTAGCAAGAAGATCATTTCTATCAAGGATTTGTCGAATCGAAGCCGTGAGAAGTCTAGCTCAATTTACGTCGAACTCCAATAAACTGTACTGTTTCGCATTTCACCAAATACCATCGACGTAATACTTTTAATCCAAAATAATATAGCTAGGTAGTGATGAAGATGGTCAAGGGCTCCGCTATGGACTTGCCGCGCGATCCACAAAATTGGCCACGATGGAAAAAGAACGCGCAAATTTTGATGGTGGCTTTCCACTCAATGATGGGCACCTTTATGGCTGCAGGTATCATCCCGGCCTACCATAGTCTTGACGAGCAATATGAGATCACAGTTCCAGATGCCAGATATCAAACCTCTTTTCAGGTGTTTTTGAAAGCAGACGTAGCCGAACTCCCAAGACAAGAAGCTTTTGCTGGTAATAAGAACAACTAAAAAACCAAAAAAAAACCACTATTTTTCTACGTAAGTCTACGGGAATAGAGGCATATTTAAGTTCCATCGCTGGCACAATACAACGTGAACCCTTCGGGGCCCCATGGGGCGACCGTGGGAACTGAACGGAATATTGCCCCCCAATGTGTATTGTCGTCCCTATTATTAGAGTAGCAGCTGATTCAAAGGCAAAAATATGTATTCTGCACTGGTATCGCCGATACTATTGTGCTGAGCAGCTCGCGGTTAGCAGATTCGGTACAGACATTCGGATCTGCACCCGAAGTAGGGTCCGGGATGTAATCCGGGGGTCCTTAGGAGGCTAACTCGGGGTTAAGCAGGAGCCAGGAGAAATGACGTATCACGCAGAATATTTTGAAGAATACTGGGCATGCTGGGTATTGCCATCGATCTATCGTATGGATAACGAGGCGAGATATATGAGATACACAGAAGTACTCACCAATACGTCAAGTTTCATCTTGCCTAGTGGCTATCGAACTTCTTGAGCCAGATATTCTGCTTATTCAATTCTCAAATAAGGCCTATAACCCCTGCGAGTCCACAGCAGCGAGATGCACTGCCTCGGGATAAGTATGAGTTATGCGGTTACTATATCCTTCTGAAAATTGCCTTCTCTGAAAATTCAGCGAGGAAGTGGGAATCATTATAATATCAGCCATTTCGCCACTTATTGCTTATTCTCTGCCAGAAAGACCGCTCTTGCACACTTTCCCCATTGCCTGGGCCACATTGGTGTTGATTACTCTCGCTATGACGCCTGGAAGCCGGATAGCCCACACGTTTAGACTGGGTGTATTTCTCGGCCGTGTCTTGGTGGTGCCACCCCCGGCTTCCTAGAATTCTGCGTCGGGGCAGACGTTCATGAGTGCGATGTGGATGTTATTTTATGCAGATTCGACTAAAAGATATGGTGTAAAGATGCTTCCATTACTTCCATCGGTGTTCTGGTGATCTGTTGAGGCTGGTATTCTGCCATCAGTTCTACCCCCTGCTGACCGTCTGCGGTGCGGCAGAGTAGTACGTAGGCAGATTGCTCTCTTCTTCTGTCCTACAAGGCAGGCAATTGATTTTCTTCTACAATATCTTTCTCCTTCTTTAGTTTTGCTCTCTAGTTGACGCTCAGTCTCCCTTGGAGCTTGATCATTATCTGTTGGGTCAATTGATGATCTCTGGATGCTAATTTACGCGCAGTTTTGTTCTTTTACAGCCTATTACGGAGCCATTTGAGATGACCCCCTACACTACTGCCAGCCCCAACTTCTGCCCAGGATCTGGCTGGGGCCGTCGGCGGGAGCACCTTCAATTCAGCCAACTGCAGCTCTAGAGGTTTATGTTGACCCACAGTCATGATGTCCGATGAACTATGAGCCAGCCAAATTTAGGAGAGAATTTTCGATACGAGAAAATTCTTTGATGCGAGGGGCAGAAAGGAAGGGTTCATAAATCCTTTTGCTGCCGACTTGGAGTCAGCATTGAGTTGGCTTGTTCAAAGCCAGCCACGGGGCCCCCCAGCGGCCCCACCGAGCAGACTTGGGCTCCGTAGCAGTACGAGAGAAACCACTGGGCGGGACTGATTTGCATATACTTGCCAAGAAGAGTATTCCAGATGCTATCTAGTTGGTCATCGCCACCTAGGGCTGAAGAAAACGCCAGGGATGTGATTGGTTGAAACCTGATGAACTAAGCAGGGGCTGGCCCGGGGCCCGGTTGCACTAGTCCCCTTTAAGTAACACTAATGTTTGGCCAATCAGAAAGCGTGTATCATCTTCGTGTATCATCTTCGCGCAGATGTTCTCCCCTCTTGGGAAGGAAATAAACAAGGCTCACCTAGGGCTGATGACGTCTGGCTACAGAGTCAATGTTCGCCTTCTTCTGTAAAATATTCGAATTGCATCATATCCTAAAAATAATAGCGAACCTTTGGTCTTAATAGGGCTACGTAATTTCAATCTGCAGTTATTAATGGGTATAAAAACCAAAGCCTCCCCTCTCTCTTGTGTCTTGATACAATTATATACCCGACTTATTTTTTTTTTCACTCTTATTCATACTTTTACTGGGCCTTCACCATCACAGAAATCTTGCCCAAAGCACATTTTTCCACAGTGGCAAGGCTCAGAATGGGGACAGCCGGGTTCTCTCACAACAGCGATGGCAGGAAGGCTAATTTAGCTTGCCCAATGCCGGCACATTTGATCCCTGGTGGGCAACTCAACTTGAGTGGCCCTTTGAACTCGATCGACTAATTTTCTTCTCGAATAGATGCATCCGAAAACTTTGTCGGCAACTTCACCTTTCATCAATTTAACATGATACTCTCTGGCGTTTGCACGGGTATTACTTGCTTGGTGATTTTTATAGTTATGGCACGGCATGCAATCCACCTAAGCGATCCAAATCAACAGGTCAAGTAAGTTCAATAGGCCTTATTTTGAAGTGACGAAATCATCGAAGATACTGACGGGCGTCGATTCAAGAATCATGCGAATCGCTACATTATTCCCCTTATATACGATCTATTCACTACTTTCAGTATGTTTTCCCAACGCATATGTCTATATGTTTGGGTGGACAAAAGTTTTCCAAGGGGTTGCCCTGTATTGGTTTCTCATGTTGTTGTGCGACTTTGTCGTGCCAGACGACCAACACAGAATTGAGTTCTTCGCATCTTTGAGGATTCAAAAGGGATACAGCAGAACCAAAATAACAGACGGGTTGTCGTGGTTGAAGGTTAGTCATCTGGGATTGATGTCATGGATGATAGCACGAGATTTAACTGATTTTGCACCCTCGCAGTATACCTGGTTTTTCGTTCTGCAGTATCCCATTGTCACATTCATCTTAGCCATTGCTCAAAGTATCACACAAGCCCTGGGAATTTACTGCCTCGAGGGCCGCGATGCCCGTTTTGGTCATTTATGGGTAAGTAAATCTAATGTACTTCTGACAAAGTATCTAGGTCTGACGCTTTCAATAGATCACTGTCATTGGAATCATATCGCTTGGCATGGCAATGACAAATATCCTCAGGTTCCACAGCAACTTCAGATCTTACATGCAAGAACAAAAGCCAATGATGAAGCTCTTGGCATTCAAGCTTATTGTTGGTCTTGAATTCTTAGAACAGGTCAGAAACATCTACCTCGTTTTGATATACAGAGTGACCAACCCCTAACAAATAACAGATTATATTTATGGTTCTTGACTCCACGGGCACCCTCAAGCCTTCCGGTACCCTGAGCTATGCAGACATCATCATTGGCTTACCTACCCTGATTATCTGTCTGCAGGTGGTCCCATTTGCATTTGTCTTCTACCACGCCTATTCCATCAAGCCATACACAATATTGAACGTTAAGCGTGATAGCAATTCTCAACAGTATCTCGCTGTAGCCGACAGTGAGACCGGCGGCCCCCGCGTAAAGCGCTATCAGGGTGGCCCCTTGGGGGCTTACGCTTGGCTTGCATTGTTCAACCCGTTGGAGTTCTTCCGAAGCATCAAATCGACATTTAATATGTTCCATGGTTCCAGGATGGAGCAGAAGAAGACCGGAATAGACGTGAACTCTGGTATGTAACTTGGGAACTGGTGGTGGCCTTTCCGATACTCTATTTTGTTAAACTCCTGATGCCTGCGGATAAAGACATTTTTTACATGTCACGACAGGCAGCAGTAATGAAGAACACTGGCTTTAACAAAAAAATTCCCCGCAGAGTGTATAGCTAGCTTCTCCTTTCTCGGGACAACTGAGTTTTCTCGGGTCCCCAGTTCGTCCTCTATGGCCGCTGCTTCCTCTCTGTTCTTCGTCATATATAACCTAGAACACTAGTCATTTGTTACTGTTAGCACGAGGCCAACGATGAAAATGGCCCCAGCAAACGCGAACCGCTCGTCTAGTTCTCGTTTAGTCGAATAAGTTGCCCTCAGCTCTCCTAGCTGCTAGTATAGAATCTGAAGTACCATTGACAATTCTGGCAGTCTTAACAAAGGCTTTCTTCAGATTGGAGTAGACAGTACTACGATCGATTATCCTTCTTAGGAACTCTTTGTGCCGCAAATTGCTGCACTAAGGGCCGTCGATTATGTGAGCATCTATTCTAACAGACTAGAACATTCATTGGTGCCTCTCGTGCCGCCTATGCATCTCTATAGACCCACACCTAACGTGGTCTTGGTCTTGGTTTAATACTTTACTTTCTTAGGGAGCGATCAGTTAGCCCTTCAGGATTTTGAAATAGTGCTCACCCGGCCTTCTTTCATGGACCCTCGCTCAGCGGGGACCCATTGAGAGGTTGGCAGGATGCACCAAGTTATTTTCCGTGAGACCGTCATCGGCTTTATCCCCACCCCTTTTCTCCTACCTTAGCTGGCGTCCTTCCTATGTAGATCTATAGGTTACGTGAGATCTAAAATTTAAGAAGTAATTTCGGGTCTCCTTCAGCTGTATGACCATCTGAAGGATCTCATCTCACTCGAGCTCCTAGCGAGAGCCACGGGGGAAAAGGATGGAAAATGAGGTACGCCAAACATGACCTTTATAAATGCCCCTTTCTTCAGTACTATCCCACACCATATCTCTCCTTTCAACTCTAATTTGAGAAGGCCATGGTATTTCTGGCTCAACAACGCGGTCTACTGGGCCTTGCCTTTCAGGCACTTATGATACACTTCTGCTCGTCTATTCCGGTGCAACCCCTAATTCTGGCACCACCAAGCAAAACAGAGCAAGTATGGACTTTTTCTGTCGTGTTTACTTTTCGGATTCATAACAGTCATGCAGGAAACCACTCCCGCTCTCCAAAAAAAAAAAAAAAACAAACGCGGAAAGGCTTATGCAGGGGCTGTCCTAGCTGGGCCTGCGATGAACTATACCATCAAGCATTCCAAATACCCTTATGAAGGAAAGCCCTGGAAGTGGAACAGGCACAATTTTGACGACTACCGCGACTGTGATGGGCCTTTTGATGCTTTGGAGTCCGGCATTCAAAAAAATCAAGTTAGATCCGCCCGAATGGGGTTACAGGCATCAGGTCAACCGCATTACCTCGGTTCCGGGACTGACTTCCAAAGACGGATCATCCGACACATACCATGTTTGGTTTTCTTCAGGTCCAGAGGGTTACATTCTCGTCGATGACGGCGTCATCGAAGACTACCAGATCTTCACTGCCTGGGCAATTGATACCGCCCGAGGGCTGATCCTCCCATGTCCCCTTCACATTCAGTCCCCGCCCGAATTGGACGGGCACGTGTTTCTCTTCCCGGTTAAAAATGATAAGGCTCTGGATATCTTGCAAACGTATCTTCAGAAAGAGAATGGCCAAAAGGATTCGTGGCAGCAGGTCTTGCTCCAAGGTTCCATTAAACAGTACCTCAGTCTTCTAGGGACGTTTGAAGGTCAGACTGTGGCAAGCATGCTGACGAATGTCGCCTCTCGTCGGGTCCCCACAAACGGAGTGAATTCCATCGAGTCCATTCATTTCCACTTGGAGAAGAAGCAAATGGTTTTTTGCCTCTAAGACGGAATTCTACGGAAGCTCACTCTATCGCTCTGCTCTATCTCAAGTTCTCAGGGAGCAATAGGGGAGGCTGGGGAGAACAGAACTGCTGAGGAAAGGGAGTAGAAGAGAGAGAGAATCAAATTGTCTGTCTGTAGGGAGAGGAAGAGAAGCGAAGCTATCTGCTACCTACAGGTCCGCTGCGGGCGGTCAGGGAGGCGGTGGAGAAAGGTTGGCAGAGTTTTTCTCCTCAATACCAAAGCTCGGTCTCTCATAACCAAATTGCCTCATATGAGTCTGGATCCAGCTTCAGGGTGATCCCAATCATCGACTTCAACTATTTACATGTATCTGACGCTGATCATCGCTGTTCGCGTTCGCGCGTAGAAAAAAAGGAATTTTATGGCAATTGTTTTAGCTTGGCACTGAGAACTATTGAAATGAACGTAGTACTTGTTCAATGTCAGGGTTGAAAATGCAGGAAGTGCTCCAAGTGTTCCTCTCGATCAACCACCGAATCATCTTAGTATACCAAAGGAGCCGAGAAACACGCAAATCTGGGGTTAGACCTATTCTCATGAACCAAGTATTTCTCGATCTATTAGGATCATCTATATACAATGCAATGCTGTGGTTGCTCTGCAGTCGTACTCCCCGAGGTGATCGACAATATGATCTATCACTCTAGACCACAAATGTGTTTTTATGCCACTGGTGACTTGTAGACATTGATCATCGACTATTTGTTGACCGGCAACAAGTGATACTTTGAGTGGCTCATCTACAATAGCCTATCAAGCCAAAGGATTAAAACATATGAACAGGGCGGGGCCAATAACGTAATATTAGCATGGCAACACAGCAATGTCCACTGCACCACACATTAGGAAGAACGCCGCAGCTCTTAGATTGGCCAGTGGATATCGCATGAGATTCAATGTCTGTGTCAAGTTGCCAAATGTGATCACACCTCATCTTTCGATATACCCGGTCTAGTCAGCGTACAATACTCGGATGCCTACATGAGCCTCTGTTGTCGATCGCTTCTCTCTTGGCTTTTTAAAAATAAATATGAAAGCTACATATTTATCTATTGTTCATCATTCCATGCTTGCCTTGCTCACCAGGTAAAAGACTCTTCCACATACTTGATGGACCGGTGGCCCTGTCGCATCGCCAAATGCGTCGCAGCTCGAGCTTCATCCGCCATGCCCAACGGTCCACAGACGAGAATAGCCAGGGTAGACCCAGCTGCAGAGGTGTCATTAGCACGGTTCATAATGAGAGACTTTATATTGGGTCGACCAGTCCGAATCTCGCAACCGAAATCCACCACATTATTTGGGAATTCTCCCGAAGTACGCGTGGCAAAGAACGTTGCTTGAAAGTCAGCCCGGCCAAGAGCAGGTTTCAGTTCTCGACGAGCAACCTCAGAAAGAAGTGCCGTTTGCCTGGCTGACCAGACCAATTCTATGTTCCGCGTTCGTGTTTTCCCCTCTGCTGTACTTGCGTCCCATTCTATAGCAGACCGACGTAGATGGTCTTGGATATATGGCACGGCCGAAGCGACGCCTGTCCCACCAACTACCATCAGTACTGATAAATACCGCCAGAGAGGAAATGTCCTTCCATAGGGCCCCTCCAGCAGAATGGTGGCTTCAGCTTCTCGGTTGGGGCAGGCCAGGCACTGACGGCGGAGCTGTTGAGTCCACCCATCGTAAGGACGGATCCAAAATATCAGCTTTACCTTTGCAGGGCACGCCCCTTCAGAAGAGACCCGTGCTGTATCAGAGGATCTACTCGAGAGGAGTGGGACCTGCGTAATATCAAGGGATTTGTGGGAATCTCTCATGATGGGTAGCGAGAGAGCGTCAGACTCCATCTCATAAGACCATGCTCCAATTGTAAACGGATGGCTCTCCCATCCTGCGAACCGAAATGGTTGATACAGAAAGTAATACTCGCCTGGCGAGGGTTGCAATAGCGGAGTTCCAAGAGTTACCTCTAAGCGCACCACATCCGCACCCGCATCATACACGGCTCGACTCTGAGAATTCTGGACAAAGCTTGACTGGAAGAAACCGACGTAGACGTTGCAATAGCACAATCGCGCGATTCGGAGAAAACGGTCCAAGATCCATATTGCTACTGAAGGTCAAAGATACTTCCAGTATTCCTTTCCTTCAAAGATGGCCGAGTGGCTATCGACCGTCAGACCTGTGAACTAGTATATCAAGCTGAACACAGGAGGATGACTTACTAGAAACACCCAATGAGGGTCAGAACGGAAAGAAAGATATGCGTAATCAAGAAAACCTCGTACGTTACCGTACGCACTCGATCCAAAGAGGTGATCAACAATAGTATCATCACTACGAAAGCCTAGTATCAGATCAGCTCGAGTTAAATAAAATTTCGAGCAACAGAAATTGATCCATACCAATAGCCCCCACCATACGTAGGTCTTCGATAGTCCCTTCCAGAGTGTCTTCGCTGTAACTTCAAGTTAGCATTCCCAAGTTACTTGCATTGGGCTCATTACTCACTTCGAATATATATCACACCATAAAGAAGCGAGTGTACCACACCCTGCACAGTGGCCATCCGAGCGACATGACGATGGAAGATGTTAAAAGTTGCAAAGCTCCACCCGGTAGCCCACATCAAGATATTGTTGCGACCACCAAAGAGCCATATTAAGGGAATGTTTGCAAACGACATGATCCCGGTGCGATCCGCAGAATATCGTAATATCTGGTCGGTGATGTTGGGCCAGCTAGACAAGTCCATTAGCATCTCGTCACCTCTCGGCCTTCGCCCTAGGCTTAGCACGTACTAGATGATTCCGGGGAATGTGCGGTAGCCTAAAACACTCAGAATCATGGTAATAACCCAGAACCCAAATACTACCAGCGCTTCGGCTCGTGTCGAGTATACACATCCCAACAAGTTTCGGTCTTGCGTCGCCAGAGGCGCAGGGGTAATCAGGTATGTTTGGACCCAGGAATAAACTGTCCCGATCCATGGCAATTGCTCCAACGGGTGAGTCGATGCATACGCGTTCAACTCTTCTGCCCAGACTGCCTGCTCGCGTCGTCGATGAAAAGCCCAATCGCATATACGGAAAACCATCCCTATCAACAGTATCCCACCCCAATAGGCGTACCCGATATAGCTGATCGGAGAGAAATCAGCATTCTATTCTTCTCTTCCAGAGGGCCAAATTCACAAGGTTAGCTCACCCAAAGGCATGGTGCGACCACGACTCGAACTGCCAAACATCCTATGCAATGGTACTAGTCAGCATTGGACTTTCTGGCACCTAATTCTTCACACGCACAATCGTATTAAACATTCGGCTGAAGTAGGACAAGGATAAGAGGATCGGGGCATCCACAGGTTCAGCTCGGGAAACCTCTTGATAGTTCACTTTGCGCATATTCTGTAGCATTTCCCGTCAGGTTGCTGGCGACTTGCTCTCGAGGCAGTAGCTCCTGGTGGCCGAATTCATGGCAAAAAAACGCCAGTTGAGCCAAGCCCCTGACACGCTCCTTCTCATTGCAATACACTTCCGAAGCGGCATAGATTGATGTGACCTTAAGTGGATTCTGGCAACGGATTTCCCACATCCCTTTCGCGGGGAAGCCGGTGAATGAGACATAGTTGTATGCGGAATAGATCGCGGTCACGCATCGCTCATCTGGCGGGAGAACACTGCCCCAGGCACACTGAACACTAAGCGCAAGCAGCCAGATCGGAAACATGGCTATCTGTGCCAGATCACAGGTGTCGGTCCAGAGAGAGGCGGAAAAGATGAGGGGGAAAAAGGCGGAGCACCAGCCCCAGCGGATAATCGCACCACCGGATCGACCGGACCCACCTCAGTCGAAGAAGTTTTTCAACGGCCGGTTCTTCACCCCAGGCTAAAAGACGTGTCTAGGATGTATTCAAACTCGGATCAATCATAGGAAAATACCAGTGTGACCAGTGTGCTAACTTGCCATTTTCCCTCGTGACAATCCCGCTGGGACGATGTTGTACACGAGGCCGATCTTATCTGATTGATTAACGTAATCCACAAGCGAGTGCCGCACACAAGCGAGTGCCGCACCACACGAAAATCGCGCCATCTTCGCGAACCTACCTAATTCAACTGCCTACCATGCCACTAATTCGCTCTCAAAATACCAGAAAATCTATCGAGAAAGAGGGTAGGACCTTCCTAGCTATCGAGGCTATTCAGAAGCAAGAAATTCCTTCGATTCGTGAAGCAGCGCGCCGATTCGAAGTCCCCGAGTATACTATTCGCCGCTGTTAGACCTGGACAGACCCGCGGATAACCTATATAGGTCGACCTGTGGGTCAGCCTATGGGCGGGTCGTGGGTCAGACCTCTTAACCCGTGGGCGGGTCAAGATTTTTTTAACCCGTCCCGCGGGTTAATAGGTTAACCTATTTAACCTATTTAGGTAGATATTTTGTTAACTATATAACTTTTATAAATTATATTATTTTTAGCTATATTTTTAGGTATTATATTTATTTTAGTTAAATAATTTTTTATAGTAATTAGGAGAATAATTCTTAGAAAGTAATTCTAGAGAATATTATTTTAAATATTAATCGATTTTAATTTTAAAGCTTATAATTATTAAATATTTATAGGCGTTTACGAACCCTATTAGAAATCTGCGGGAGGCTATAATTATCTTTATAATTACTTTTTAACTTTTCTTACTACAATTAATAAAATATATCGACTATAATTATTAGATTTATAATATCTTCCTTTTTATTATTATTAATTAGTATAATCTCTTTATAAGTCTTTTAGGTCTTTTTTTCTTTCTATATAATTTCTAATTTATCCTACTCCTAAAGCTCTTAAATAAATATAAGCTACTTCTCTTTAACTTTAAATTTAGTAATATATATAAATATTATTAGATCTTATATAGTAGATATATTTAACATCTCTTATTAATAATAATAAATATCACGTACGGAATTAAATAATTGCTTAATATTAACGTTAGTAGCTAAGATTAAGAGGAGATTATAGATAAAGCTTATAAATATAGGAAATTTATACTAATAATCCTTCTAGAACTAATAAAATAAGATTAGGATAGTATCTAAATAAAAGGTAGATTATAATAATTAGTATAATATTTAGATAGATTAGAACTAATACCTTTATTAAAACCAGGATTCTAAGATAGGCCTTAAAACCCTAATTCTAATAAAGGTAGAAAAATAGAAACTTAATAGATTAGAATTAGGGTTTTAAACAATTATTTAGAACCCTAGTTTTAATAAAGATATATATAGAAACTTACCTTCTTTAATATACTATATTATCTTAGATTAAGAGTTTAAGATAGAAGAATCGGCTATTAAAAATATATTAAGCTTATTAGTTTAATAAGACTATTTTATTTTAGATAGTAATTAAGAGCTTAGAATATTACTAGTTTAGTAATTTAGAAGCTAATCTTTAAGACTTTGCTAGTATTAGACGCTATAATCTATCTAAGGATAGTCCTAGTCTTTAGTTTAAAAAAATTTAATCTTATACTAAGAGGCTAAGATAGTACTAATTATATAGATATTACTAAGCTCTTTATTATCTATTATAGAGTAATACTTATAGAGTTTACTCTTAGCTAATTTAAAGGCTTAATATATCTATTATTTCTATCTAATCTTCTTTTTACTAAACTATCTAATTAATCTCTTAAAATAATTAAATAGCTTATTATAGATAGCAAAGATAGTATAAATAGTAATATCCTTTATTTTTAAGAGGACTATAATAAATTAGAAAAATAGCTAGATAATATTAAGAAGGTAATCGATCTAACGCTATTTATCTATATTAATTTTAAGATAAGGATAATTATATTTAGAGTAAAATCGATTAAAGATTAATTATAACTATTTTGTATACCGGAGTATTAAAAAAGTTAAATTCTATCTAGTTTAGATATCTTAAATTAGAACTAATCGAGGGTAGTTAGACTAGAGACTAAAGAAGGACTCCCGATATTAAGGGCTTATATTAATAAAGATTATAAGATTTCTAATCTAAAATATAAAATAGATTAATATTTTAACTAATAAATAAAGAGTATAGATATATATCTTTATAAGAGTTATCGTAATATCTCGTTTTTATACTTTTCGACGGACGTATTAAATATATTTCTTGGATTAAATAGTCTTAGTTACCTCGTTCTAAGGGTTCGCTTTTATCTAGTTAAATAGTTACTTTAAACTTAACTAAATTATATATATAATATATAAAACCCGAATAATTATTATCTTAGAATTAATATCTAATAATTAAATAGAATCTTAGATACTTAAAATAAGGATAGAGTTATTTGATATATTATTAGTTATTACTATAAGTACTTAGTCTTTAATCTAATATTTCTAGAGGATATCAAGAAGGGTTATACTAAGATTCTATCTAGAGTATATACTAGAAATAGGTTTAAAGCTAAATAAAACCTTTTAATAATTCTAGTCTATATTAATAAAATAGCTAGAGATAGCTATAAATACTTATTAAAATAGTGATATCTAATAGTTAAAACTAATAGAGAGCTTAGCCTTAGATAGAAGCTTCTAAAATAAATCTTTCTATTAATCTTAGATTATTCCCTAGATTCGACGTTATATAGTTTAATAGGAAGAGAAACTAAAGATAAATAATAATAATTAGATTATTCGAAGAAAGGCTTAGAATTCAGGATACTTAATAGTTTAAAAAAGAAGCTATAAGGTAATTATTATAATAATTAACTATTATTTCTATAGCTCTTAGATAACTAGTTAGGCTATTCGAGGGGAGTTCTTAGCCTAAGAAAGATTAGCCTATAAATTAAATAATAGCTATATAATATACTATATATTCTATAAGATATTAAATTATTAAATATTTAGTAGTATTTTAGCCTTTCTAGTATATACTCTGATTCTAGTAGCGTTAGAGACCTATTATCCTATTCTTAGTATAGATTAGATAGTTTATAATCTTACTATATCACTTATATAGGAGCTTTAGCTTAGACCTGGATAGACCCGCGGACAACCTATATGGGTCGACCCGTGGGTCAGCCTATGGGCGGGTCGTGGGTCAGACCTCTTGACCTATAGGCGGGTTAAGATTTTTTTGACCTATCCCGCGGGTTAATAGGTTAATCTATTTAACCTATTTAGGTAGATACTTTATTAACTATATAACTTTTATAAATTATATTATTCTTAGCTATATTTTTAGGTATTATATTTATTTTAGTTAAATAATTTTTTATAGTAATTAGGAGAATAATTCTTAAAAAGTAATTCTAGAGAATATTATTTTAAATATTAATCGATTTTAATTTTAAAGCTTATAATTATTAAGTACTTATAGGCGTTTATAAACCCTATTAGAAATCCGCGGGAGGCTATAATTATCTTTATAATCACTCTTTGATTTTTCTTACTATAGTTAGTAAGGTATATCGATTATAATTATTAGATTTATAGTATCCTCCTTCTTATTATCACTAATTAGTATAATCTCTTTATAAGTTTTTTAGGTCTCTTTTTCTTTCTATATAATTTCTAACTTATTCTACTTCCAAAGCTCTTAAATAAATATAAACTACTTCTTCTCGACTTTAAATTTAGTAATATATATAAGTATTATTAGATCCTATATAATAGATATATTTAGTGCCTCTTATCGATAATAATAAATATTATACGCGGAATTAAATAATCGCTTAATATTAACGCTAGTAGCTAGGATTAAGAGGAGATTATAGGCGAGGCTTATAAATATAGGAAATTTATACTAATAATCCTTCTAGAACTAACAGGGTAAGATTAGGATAGTATCTAGATAGAAGGCGGATTATAATAATTAGTATAATATTTAGATAGATTAGAACTAATACCTTTATTAAAACTAGGGTTCTAAGATAGGCCTTAAAACCCTAGTTCTAATAGGGGTAGAAAGATAGAAACTTAATAGATTAGAACTAGGGTTTTAAGCGATTATTTAGAACCCTAGTTTTAATAGGGGTATATATAGAAACTTACCTCCTTTAATATATTATATTACTTTAGACTAGGAGCTTAAGATAGAAGAATCGGCTATTAAAAATATATTAAGCTTACTAATTTAATAGGACTATTTTATTTTAGATAGTAATTAAGAGCTTAGAATATTACTAGCTTAGTAGCTTAGAAGCCGATCTTTAAGACTTCGTTAATATTAAGTACTATAATCTATTTAAGGATAGTCCTAGTCTTTAGTTTAAAAAAATTTAATCTTATATTAAGGGGCTAAGATAGTGCTAATCGTATAGATATTACCGAGCTCTTTATTATCTATTATAGAGTAATACTCACGGAGTTTATCCTTAGCTAATTTAAGGGCTCGATATATCTATTA